CGTCACTAGAGCGAAGCTCCAGAATTTGAGAATCTTTGCACTACATGGAATTGCAGGGTGTAAACCGCTTTACTTCCAGCGAGAAATCTTGAAGTAAAGGTGAAACTCTGTGCATATGTAGAGTTTCACAGCAGAAGTTTGGTACACATCTGGTAGGGGGCCTTCAAGTGTAAAAAGCGTTTTGACACACTGTATGGACTTTGGAAGTAATTCTTGCTTTCTTGGTAAGAGAACTGGAGGGTATCTGAGGGGCTTTGTTTTCTTGCCTCAGATAGCATTGGAATAAAGGAATTGAATTACTATAGTGACTGTGAGACAAATGGCGGCTGAGAAGAAACTGAGGGGGGTTTGAAGCGTTCAGCGTCACATCGAAAGAGAAGCTTTAAGAAATCCTCTTTGCATGGAATCCAAGGGAGGAGGGTGAGAGGGAGGGTCCGCATCCTTTGACCTAGAACATTCACTGTGCGGAGTTTTTAATTTTGAATAAAATCCGTATAGTTATGTTAAAAAAGGGGTGCCTAAGGGTTCCGCTTCACTCTGTAGCGGTTTTTTGCAAGGACTTTTGAAGATGTAAAATTATACTCGTACTTCTGGTAGGATACTGAGTCTGGAGGGAAACCTGGGAATGTCAAAGGCATCGGATTCACTGCAAAGAATTTCAGGATGTGGCAGAAACGGCGGTGCTTCTGAAAGGGGAAGCGAGGTGTTTGGAGGCTTCCGCCTCACTTCTAGAGAGATGCCTCAAAGAAGGAAATCTTATGCATTTCCTGGAATTTGGGGAGGGGGAATGGGGGGGGGGGGTGCGTCTTGGCAGAAAGCATTGCGATGAAAAGGGAAATTCTTTGCACTGTATGTAATTCTAGGAAAGAGAGTTTCGCGCTAGAAGGTCTCGAGTTTGAACCTTTGAATTCCTGACAATCACTGGAACTTAGGAAAACACTGTCCTGCTCCCCGATCAAATGTGCAAACCTTTTTCTTGTTGAAAAAGACCTGACGATTTCTACGACAATGCACGTTCAACGAAATATCTATTGCAGCTTTTCATGAGTTTTTCAAATAGTTTGAAGTAATTCTATTTGAACTTCCAAAGCTGCAAATTGTACACTTTGATCTCGCTGGGCATTTGGCTATGAATTTCCGAAAAGCCTCGTCTCTGAGGAGTACCATATTAAATAATCCCAATTTCACACCCAGCAGTGAGCAGATTTTGGCTAAATGACTGCTCAATGATGACTGAGGCGGGATACTGTTATAAAGAACTAGCTGGCTTGCCCGGCTCCGCCGGGCCTGCCAGCTAGACCCGTGTACGTATGTTCCGAATTAGAAATTTTTATCTCTGAACCGATTGGGACCGAACTTTGCACACATACACTTCGGGGCAGGGAGCGTGTCACAGCCCACTTTTCGTTTTCGGGGTGATCAGCATGCTCGATTACCCCCCTCTGCCAAATCCCAGCCCTCTAGCTCGAATTTTGCAAAAAATCAATAAAATCGACATCGATCGATAACGAAAAGTGGGCTGTGACACGCTCCCTGCCCCGAAGTGTATGTGTGCCAAGTTCGGTCCCGATCGGTTCAGAAATAAAAATTTGTATTCGGAACATACGTACATACATACAGACAGACAGACATACAGACAGACAAACAGACATTCAGCTTTATATATAAGATATTTTAGCGGCAGTCTTCAGAATGTGAGATTAACTTGAAGTTTTTCATGCCACGCAGGTTTGTCAAGAAAGAAATGCCAGATTTTACGAACAAAGAACACACGAAATGCATAAAATTAGTTCCTGAATGTTTACATGTTGACGATAAGTCTGTAGCTACAGAAAAAGCGATGCGCAAGCTTTATTCGAATATCATGCTTAGCCCTTTTCCGGCTGAGAGGCACACCATTAGAAGATGAGCTGCGTTTCGGCTTGGATCAGATGTGCTAACATAATATAATAGATGATTGGTGGTGATTTCAAATATGAAAAAATGGATCCAGCTCCTGCTAGGATGCTTTTGCAGTAAGAATAACAAAGATTGAATTATAGCTATCCATTCATTCCTTAATGCCTGTTTCGTTAAAAGTACGGTATTGTGGCAACAGCCTCGAACTCCTGTTTTATCATATTAGGTGAAAAAATCGTCAAATTGATAGATCTGTTTGTTGTAACTCATAGTCGCAAGAATGCTGCAGCTTCGAATGTATCTGCCCAACCCACTTGCTAGCGACCCGTAGGGTCGCTAGTATGTATATAAAACTCAAACACTGTACCTTTGTTTGTTAGGATGTTTGTGGCTTATAGACTCCTTTGTATGTGAACTGAAAAGACTGAAATTCTCTCCCTATAAACAAGCTACGGCGCAGAAGATAGGCCACTTTTTGCGACCATTCGCTGGGTCCTTCCATCGATTTATTGATTTGCTTACTTACATCTAGCAAAATGAAAGCTACATCATTTATTTCTCTAAGTTAAGTAGTAAGGGGCGGTAGATGTCACGAAGTGAGGCGGTCAAGAAGGAAGGAATCTTACTACGGATGCCACAGCGGAGCTGCAATTCAACTCGGAGCTGAAGCAGGAAAAAAAGGGATGATATGAACTGTAAGCCCTAAATGATTTGAAATGGACATTATGGGGTTTTGAACCCTCCGCCCGGGCTGGACCGGGGACGGCAGCTAGTCAGTGATATGGGCAATAAAAATTGCACAATTTTTAGCGATAGTTTTCGATAATGAGAACTTTGTACCAGAACCTGCTATTCGCGATAACGCTGTGATAAATGTTCACAAAAGCCTTAACATAGAAAACATCAAGGTATCATTGTATGTCTATCCCATCACCACGAATTACGGACATGCTGTATATTAAAAGATTCGTCTCATCAAGCTGAAGCCGTATTTTCTTGCAGAATTCATATAAAATTGTTGCAAAAGAAGCTATAGCTAAATCCCGCTTATCCCGCAAATCTTGTGAAATCGCAAATCCTGCGAATCCCGCGAATCCCGACAATCCCGATCTTGGACAAATTCTACCGCTGCAATTGTACTTTCTATGTGTCATCAGCGACAAACCAATGGCAGTACTGTTATCAGCACATTGAACAATTCAACCAAACAAAAATCTGCAAAATTGTACGAAAACTTACTGTCTAGCTTATACCTATCATATCCCGCTAGATTAAGGCACTCCTATATACTACATAGAGGACGCGTCATAGATCGTCACATAGATTGTGGCACTTTTCTATACTAGATGATGCGTCTCGTCGAGCTGAATCGAACGATGTCTTCGGATCCAGAAATCGTTCATTCTGAAACGAGATATGGCGATGCGACGCGGATTCCGACGGACTTCAGTGATGTGCGGCGCACTCCGCTGCTCTCCGGCAGATCTAGTGGAGTGTGGCGCCCTCTGCGCCGCAGTCCGGCGACTTTTTTGACGAAATATGAGCGGTATTGTACTTGGACAAACATGAGCCATGTTTCAGTGCGTTGCTTATTTAATATTAAGAACTTGCTTTTGAGGTGAAGAAGGATGAAAAGAAGCATGTAGGCAAAAATGGATTAGATTGAACCGAAAATTCATTCGCACCGTTTTCAAAAAATCATGACTTCTTTCTTCTACAATAATCTTGCATAACAAAAACATTATCGAAAAGAGCAAAGCGTGTACTTTCAGTAACATCTTGTTTGCTCTTTCCTAAGCTTCCATTGCAGAGATAAAATTGAAAAAATGAAATTACTTTAACTTCGGAGTTTTGAGGCAAGCACTTTAAAAATTCCAAAACTGTGCCATAAAATCCAAAACAGGCAGTATTTTAAATTGTTTTACCCCTTCTTTTTAGCTGAGCAAATTTCGCGCTGATTGAGCTTTTTCTTAAAAAAGTTGTGATCGAGAGAAAATGCCAAAAAAGTTCCTCAAGAAAATTGTTTTTTCAAGATTTTTTTCAAAATCATAACTCAACAAAGAACAGCTGGATCAGCGCGAATTCCGCTTAGCTAGAAAGAGGCGTCAAATAATCTAGGATACTGCCAGTTTTGGATTTTGTGGCACAGTTTTGGTTTTTTTACAGCCTTGCCTTAAAATTCCAAAGTTGAAGTGACTTCAATTTCTCAATTTTATCTCTGCATTCAAAGCTTAGTAGGGAAGAAGCAAGATGCCGTTGAAAGTAAATATTTTGTCGTGCAAGAATATGGTAAGAGAAAGAAGTTACGATTTTCTGAAAATGGTGCCAATTTTTCAGCTCAACCCAATAAAAACATTCTGTTAGCTAAGGGCTCACAGGTAGTTGTTAAACGGCACTTGCACACTTGTTCCCTTATACAGGTCTATAGTCTCACCTATGTCTTCTATGCCCACTTGCATGCAAATACCATATTAAAGTACAGAAATGAACAAAAGCTATTTACCAATTCTGCGCGTTTTCATACCGTCTGGAGCAACATTATATATGACTGAATATGAGAAAAGCCTATAAGTTGATGTATAAGTGTCGAGCCCGCGGGAATTTCGGGAAGTGCTTCTTCGAAGAGTTCAGTGCTATGCTTGAAAAGTCAAGAAAGTGCTTTTTACGGCGTTTTTGTACCGTGGAAATAGCTGGAAGTGATGGACGAGGGATTTAAGCCATAAACAGCGACAGGTTGCAGGAGACTGTAACACTCCACCCATTTTGGGGTGATTGGCTGGTCGGATTAAGCAACCAAATGCGACGTTGGCGGGAATCCCTCGCCCTACCCCTCCAGCTATCTCTAGGGTGAAAAAACGCCGTAAAAGTACTTTTTTGGCATTTGCACAGCGCTGAACTCAGTGCATTGAGGCCGTGTGAGTGTGAAAAGCTCGCAGCCGCAATTTTCCAGAGCCACTGCCTTCAACGCCGCTTGTTTCACGCAGAAATATTTGGTATCTGTAAAGTTTCCTATCTCATGGGTAAAGGCTGGTGTTTTTTTGACATCGAAAAATTATGCTTTCGTCACTCGATAGCTTATTTCTGTATCCTTATTCATTTAGAATGTGCAATACTGAATGGACAACACACGGAACCATGTCCATCACCGGACTCGAACGGAGAGTGGCCATGTATCAGGTGGGTGTACGTTCTAGCAAAATGCTAATCTACTAAGGACCGGTTGACTTCACTTATCACCTTTTCGCATAGATCTACACATGAAGAGTGTAAAAAGTACAGTACTGGTGTGGAGAAACTTTGTGACAATGCGAAGACTATCTTGTGATTATAATCAACACTAGCTGGCTTACCCGGCTCCTCCGTATCCGAACCAAACTTGGCACACATACACTTCGGGCCCCGGCGGGTGTCACAGTCCACTTTTCGTTATCGATCGATGTCGATTTTACCGATTTTTATCGATTTTTTTGCAGAGTTCACCTACAGGGCTAGGAGTTGGCACAGGGGGGGGGGAGTGAGCATGGGGATTCCGAATACAATATTAGTTTTCAGAATTATCGATTACTTTTATTGATTTTATCGATTTTTTGTAAAATTTGACATGCGAGGCTGGGATTTTGCACAGGGGAGTAATCGAGCATGCTGATTACTAATACAATATTAGTTTTTAGGATCGTCCATTACTTTTATCGATTTTATCGATTTTTTTGTAAAGTTTGACCTGCGGGGCTGGGAGTTTGCACGGGGGGGGGGGTAATCGAGCATGCAGATTACGAATACAATATTAGTTTTCAAGATCGTCCATTACTTTTATCGATTTTATCGATTTTTTGCAAAGTTTGAGCTAGGGGGCTGGAATTTGGCACAGGGGTGTAATCGAGCATGCTGATCATCCCTAAGGGGACCACCCCTGTGCCAAATTCCAGCCCCCTAGCTCAAACTTTGCAAAAAATCGATAAAATCGATAAAAGTAATCGATAATCCTGAAAACCAATATTGTATTCGGAATCCCCATGCTCGATTACCCCCCTGTGCCAACTCCTAGCCCTGTAGGTGAACTCTGCAAAAAAATCGATAAAAATCGGTAAAATCGACATCGATCGATAACGAAAAGTGGACTGTGACACCCGCCGGGGCCCGAAGTGTATGTGTGCCAAGTTCGGTCCGGATCGGTTGAAATGGAATTTTCTATTCGGAACATACGTACAGACATACAGACAGACAGACACACAGACAGACAGACAGACAGACAGACATACAGACAAACAGACATTCAGCTTTATATATAAGATATGCGGCAATTCTAAGAATTAGTTGTCTGAAAAATAATGTTGCACCTTGTTATCATGCGTTAGCGGTAGGAGAGCACCAAAAAGCGTAGGAACCGTTATCGCATCATGTGATTCATCTGAAATTCGGAGCTAGTATTTGATTGCCCCAAAAAATCTTACGAATCCTTGCTTTGCTCACGCACTATCTTCTGTATAAAATACCCATGCCATTTGATTCAAAAAGCAGTGGCCGGAAGGCAGGGCTTCGCGGCCTAATCATGTTTAGGGAACGAACAGAGAGCACGCTTGCGAGAGAGATGCAGACTGCGTCGCAGGTGCGAGCGGTCGCCTTTCGGCCGCCAATCCCATTGAATCAAATGGTAGCACACTTATTCTATTTTTCCCATGACTAGACATTAGAAAGACAAATTGTTACACGTGACCAACACAACTCTCTACAAATAACCTTATACTTTACAAACTTGGAAAGCATAATCATAATTTTCAGCTTTCTATCAGGTTGTCTCATAACTTCTGGCCGTTTTAGCTCTTAATCGGAATAAGTCATAGACATCTTATTTCCAGATAGATTTCGAAGTACTGTTTCATAGTACAAAGCAAGCTCTACAAGATTGTTTTTTTGTTTTCGCTCCAGTTCAAATCCTTCTCGAGTCTGAAGCCAAAAAATAAAATCTAACCGCCAGAAAATAAAGGATTGTAACTTTGTTAAAGTCCTAAAAAATTCCTAACTTGCTCGATACGTTTTTCGCATCAGACATTTATAAATACTGTTGCTATATTTTTTCACACATAGAAATAAAAAAACGAAATATCCGTGTTTTAGCCAAAGTGATAGTGTGCTATTCCCATACTAGTAAATGTATATTACAGGGCAATAAAAGTGTAGAAGTAAATTTTAGCTCTCTACGAGCTTCAGATCTCGAAGAGCATCAAATTTGATTATGCTCAGCCGAGTGTTTCGCACTAAAGGGATAATTCTAAACACCTAAGGGACACATACTTCGTCGCGAAAAGTACAAAAGCGTCAAAAAAGCCCAAAAAAGCCTAAAAGAAAATCCCAAAAAAGCCTGAAGCCGAAACGCAGAAACGAACTTTTGGTAGAATTCTGACATTATTGATGTGCAGACGGCAGAAAATGAAGCAAAAAGAGTCGGTTGAGAAATCAACACACATGTCTTACCGGCAAAACGAAAGGAGCGTTTCGGCTTTCACGGGCTTTTCTGGTTTTTTTTGAGCTTTTTCGGAGTTTTTTGGGGTTTTTTCGGCAAAGTATGAGGGGTCCCTAGCTGAAAGCCCAATCACGTTTGTACTTATAATTGTCGTAGTCTAGAAATATTGATGTGGGAACAGCACAGTATCACCATGATAAAAACGCAAAAATTTTCGTTTTTTATGGTTGCTACTTTAGAGAGCGCCAACCCCTGAGAGCAGTCATTAAAAAACTTTTTGAGTATCCTTCCCTCTGGTAAGAGATTAAGCCATTCTTTATCTTAGATCCTAGGCTTAAAAATAAACAAAGTACACTTAGCATTCACCTTCTTCTTTTTACTCAGGGCTCTTCTTTCATTAGGATTAAGGTAGATGGCAAATACAACCTACAAAATTTCGCAATGATAATGAGGGCACTAATTGTAAACCGTCTTGTGGTATATGTAACAACTTAATGGTCCATGATAATTATTTACGATCAAAAATTACTAACTTACGTATCAAAACATACAAAAATTCAATTGCTATTTGCCAGTCAAAAAATGTGGTTTATTGTCTTTCATGTTGTACATGTGGCTTTCAATACGTAGGAATCACCACTAGGAAACTACATATTAGAATAAATGAACACCTACTCAGACAATCGCTGGGGGCAGGCGGGCACCGGAAAAATAGATTGATTGCTGATTTCTCGCACCCCGCTCGCGGATTTTTTGCAAAGCAATTAGGACTTTTCGGAAGACCGCTTGCTGAGTCAGCGGATTTTTGAGAGACCGCTTGTCAAATTTTTTTCGCTCTTATCTTTTGCAGATATATTGCTGAATCTCTGAGGAATCGAGAACTCAGCAAGCGGTCTTCCGAAAAGTCCTGATTGCTTTCCAAAAAATCCGCGAGCGGGGTGCGAGAGATCAGCAATCTATTTTTCCGGTGCCCGCCTGCCCCCGGCGATTGTCTAAGTAAGAGACATAAAAAATAAACAAGACAACAAACTTTTTTATAAGCATTACTGTATAGGTAATTGTACTTCACAAAATTTCAAAGCCATCATTTTAGATAACTCTCCAGAAAACAGGTCTTAATATACTTAGAAATAAAGAACTTTTCTGGGTTAGATTACTAATGACACCCACACCTTTTGGATTCAATGATAATATAGAAGGCTATGGTAATTCTACTAATATTGGTAATACACTAGTTATAAAAGTAATCACCCTTTCTTCAATTTGAAAATTACTAAACAAAGACTTAATCGTGGCTACAATAAAAAAAGTGTACGAAAAAAAGCTGAAACTAATGTTGATACGATAACTGCTGAAATTCAAGATTTTATCGCCGATAAACTTAAATATTATGATATCTATTAGGTCATTCCGAAAGTAATTTCGCTTTTTTCAAACGGGCGCCACATCTGATGGAACAAAGGTTTTTAAGAGATTCTGGTAGCATTCGAAACAGCATTTCATTCTCTTTCCAATGATTATAAAATTGTTGCAAAACAGTCAATGAGCTTTCAGAAAATAACCAAAATCTGCGACCTATGCTTTTTGAGATAGTCAAGTTTCACAATTTTTAAAGACTTCCATATCAATTCTCAGAAGAAGTTCAAGCGACGGTTCGATAGAGCAAACCTCATAGAATGCAGTGCAACTTTTTTCTCTTTTCCATAGCTTGTCATACATTTTTAACAGAATTTTAACTGATGCTACCGATTTCCATACTTGGACAGCTAAATCCTAGTAGAACATCAAACCTTGAGCAGCTCGGGTGTCATTCGATGCAGCTTTTTCTCCTCTTTCTAATGGGTGTTTTTTGTTTCCGATTCGTTTAGTTTCCGGGGATAAAATCATCATAACTCACTTTTTTAGGGAGCCCGCTGTACCCGAAAAACTCGAAATTTGATATTTCGAACCCGTAAACCCTCACTTACTTTGTAAAATTAATGCTAACTCATAGTACCATCTTGGTAGTCTCAAATTCCGGAAAATTACGATGTTTGATGCGATTGTGGTTGAAGGGGGCCTGCCAAAATTCGATGGTTCTGCTAAAAAATCTTTTAAAAAATTACGGCGAGATACGAGAAAGGGAAAAAAGTAGCGCTGCATTCTATAAGCTTTACTTCATCGAATCTTTACTTGAACTCTTCCTGAGGATTGATATGAAAGGTTTAAAAAATCGTGAAACTTGACCATCTCAAAAAGCAAGGGTCGCAGATTTTGGTCATTTTCTGAAAGCTCATTGACTGTTTTGCAGCAATTTCATAACCATTAGAAAGAGAATGAAATGCTGCATCGGATGCTACCAAGAGCGCTTAGAAATCTTTGTTACATCAGATGTGGCGCCCGTTTGAAGAAAGCGAAATTACTTTCGGAATGACCTAATATAAACTGATCAAAAGTAAAAATAAAAAATACATTTCTTCTTTAATCAATATAATAACTTTCAACACCTCGTTATTATGCATACCCAAAAAATATGTAGAAGTCCTATGTGGTATTCTTTGCTACTATCACTTTCGGGAAGAAAAAGGTACGTCATCTAAATCCAATTACATTAATGTGAAATTTCCTTATTACAGTAATATTCTTGATAAAATTAACACCAACAAGATGATCAATAATGACATGACTAAAAACCTGATTGAAAGAAACAATTATAAACCATACTTGCCTATTAGGT